TCTTAGAAAAATCTATGTATTTTTCTTAGAATAAAGGTGTATTTTTAAAAATTAAAATCTTCCTTTGCTCCTAATACCATCTTTGTTTCAGAGGTTCCTGTTTTTTTTTTGCCACTTTTTTTAAATGGGGTTATGGGCTTCACATGATAACTCGAAATTTTGTTTAATTGATATCATTCTCTTAACATATCACTACACAGTGTTTTTATAAAAATTCATTTTTTAGGCTGATACATAAGTTGTGATTAATCTCAAGCAATTACTCTCATGGGATGAATGCAGCATGTGTAAAGTTATTACAACGTATCAGTTGCATGCAACAGTTGTGATCGCACATGCGATTGTTCAGAGATATAGCACTGTCCTAAAAATATTTTAACAGCTGTGACCAGTCTTAACATTGAAACGAATGCCACATTAAGAGTGTGTCAATTATTTGTATGTGAAATCAAATCAAATGGGTAAAGATAACAATCAGTCATAACTTTCACAATAAAAAAAACAAAGACATGGCAAAACACGGACCTCTGAACTTAACAGAGGTGGGATTAGGTGCCAAGGAGGAGTAAGCATCCCCTGTCAACCGGTAACACCCGCCACGAGTCCTCTGAATTGATCAAATAAATGGTCAAATCTATAGTCGAATTTTTTATGAAATGAAATGTATGTATGTATGAATGTGATGAAATATTTCAGTCGAAGTATGACCGAAGGAAAGACTGTGTTTGCAAACAAGGTCTTTATATTGACCATAAAATATGCTAAATGATGACTTCTGAAAACCCCTGAAACATTAACTTAATAATCAGTAGCCTGCCTTGATTTTTCATAACAATGATCGTTTATAGAGAATGTCTTTACTTTTCAAAAAAGTTCGGAAACGTTATTTGTTGCGTGTATACAGAAAGTAGTAAGTACATGTAGCAAGCAATACAAATTCCTTATGATAATAACAACATTTGTGTATCGCACTATTTCGTAGTTTTCTTCTTAATTCACTCTCATATAGCAACTTCAATTGTAGCCGTTTGAAAGAACTTAAATAATCTGAAAAATCTGTTTCACTGTAATGGTTATATAAAAGATAAGAGAACAATAAAAATAAACTTAATGTAAAAAGTAACACATAATAATACAAATCTAGACAATTACTTTAAAATTTATAATCAGCATATATAACATTCACCATAACCAAAACTATGACTATATAATTAGCACTAGAAACAAAATTAGCAAAAATTATGAACCAAAAAGTTACATTTAAAAACTTTGCAATAAGCATAATTTTTTACTGCAGAAACCCATAGGGAGAACATACCTGTCTTACTTTCGATAACAACCTGAGTTGCTTCTAAAAAAAAAAATGAGTGAAAGTGAGTTTATTTTACTTATATATCATGCATAAACATATGGAGATTACGAACAGTATTCAAGATCAAAAGTCCATAAAACAATTCAAAATAGAAGCAGAGCAACGGACCTCCAAGTATTAAATGTATATTCTACGTTATTTACTTAAATTTTGTAACATATAGAATAAACATGCGTTCTTATTATAAGAAATGTGCACAATTTAATCCTAAATGTTGTGATAAAGGGAGGTAAATAATGACCTTACTGTTATTTGGTTATGACTTGTTCGGCCATTTTGTAATGTTAACGTTAAATTGATATAAATTTCCTTTTTTTATGTAAACATTATGATAAGTGGACAAGTGCTTTCAAATTTAGCAAACTAATCCATCGTGCTGTTTCCTCATTTTTCTGGCAATTTACAGGAAATCACTTAAAACCATCATTGATTGTCCAAAATAAGAATGAGATTATAATTTACATAGTCTAATAGTCTTGTCACCTAAAGCTATTATAAACATGTTATACATTTATACATAAGTACACGAACTGAACTTGCTGAAAACCCAGAGGCGTGCACATGATATAAGATGTTGATTTATACATACATGTTTTACATGTCGTAATTTTCGTGACATTAAACAAACATTACAGATTACACACATGAATATATTTTTTAACATTCATTATTTACCAAACATAACTAACCTTGTTCATTAAAATCCCATATTAAACTTACTAACTCTTATTTACAAAACAAAACACATTTCATTATATTTGAAATCAATTAAATAATGTCATTATTCAGATATGCTTTAAGTATTTTTAAAAAGTGCTTATATATGTACTTATTTAGAACTCTTTAAAATGATATATAAAACATAAAACCTTTGCAAAATCAAATTATTTCAATTGACTTACCTGTTGTACAAGAAAAGATTGCACAGGCCAATGTTAAAACTTCCCTAAGTAACATATCTGTCCCAATGAATCACCTGTACCTGGCAATGCTCCGCTTTTTATACAGGATTTTGCAGAACTGACAGCTTGGTCATAAACAGACATCATCTGAAGGTACATTACCTGCGCGCGCTCTCAACTACGCAACACGCCATGTACGTCAAAATATTCGACTTGATTTTTTTTTTCTAAATGAGTCATATTTATATTTGAAAACAAAAAAAAAAACACGTTAACCTTAAAAGGCTTTATATAACATTACTTTATTCTATATTTCAAATAAATGTGTATTACAAAATATATACAAGAGAAATGATGGTAACATTACATCACAAATTTAAGAAAGTTTAATAGATTGAGAAACTGACTTTTCATAATACATGCAAAATAACACCTAAACTATGTTACAAACAACAATAACAGCTGGCGACTACTGCGTTATTATTGTCAACTTTCCTTATTTGTGTAGTGATATTTCACTATCACCCCCATACGATGTTAAAGCCTTCCAAATTATTCTACACTGAAGAACCTGCTCCGAGAACAGTCGATTTTTAAAGCAAAGTTGGATTCTGACAAATAAAACTGATAATATAGTGATTTTAACGTCCATGTAGGACATGCACATATATTGTATCCTTTACACCGATTATATTTTAGGTCGTTTTCTTTATATTCAAAGTATCATATCAGATTTTCTTAATCAAAATTTTAGCAAATATAACCACGAGTTTTGGATAAGCAACATATTATGAACATTCTTGTGTTTAAATGAAAAAAAAATTACAAAAAAATATAGATTTGGCTGATATTCATACAGATTTGATTCAGAAAAAGAGTATGTGTAAATATTATTATAAGCACATGTATTTATCAACAATCAAGGACGATATCTTATTTTAGTTTTTTTTTTAAATGGATTTTTATATTTTATTTTTGAAATGACTGACATAAACTGGCTGTACCGAGATACAAGACTATTTTTGGCGAATTTTATACAAAAGTTCAATTTTACTTGCTCTTGAAAAGTAAACGCATATCATAAATCTTTTTGTATTCGTGTACTGTATTTTATAGATATTACTACTACAAACAATAGTGCAGTATAATTCAAAAATTTAAAGACTAATTTGTATACTAGTATGCTCCAGAATATATACGGAAACTGTTTAATATGTACGAACATCCTAAAATTAATTTTTCCTCCACTTTTTCTCTTCGTATAACAAACTCAGAAATTGAAAAAAAAAATAAATAAATCTGCTATTTTGAACCTTTGCCAGGGAAAATTCATGTTTAATGACACTCTGATTATTAACAGTCAAGAACACGTACAATAATAAATTCCTTAATATTTGAGCATCAGAAATCTAGATGTTTTCGGGTCTTTTCTTTCCTCCCTTTACACAGCTCTCTGATTATCCCCCCTACCACGACAGTCGCCCCGACCGCCGCGATCCCCGTCAGGGCTTTGTTCGCCTGCGATGGAAGAAAAAATCATATGGTATTTCAGTCAAAATTTTAAATTTATTAGAAGAGACGTTTGAATAATCTTGCAAAAAAAAAAACCCAACCTTTTTCTTTTACTTGTGAAAAAGAAGATTGACAGTAAACAAAGTCAAATTATCGAAGGAAACAATAGCAATTGTAAGAAAAGAAACACAGACTTTTTAAAACCTGAGGTATGTGATCAGGTGTCATGAAGAAGTAAGCATGCCCGAATCATATGAGTTAAATGACACAATTACAAGTGATTATAGAACACCAAAGTAGATTTTAGAGCCATTGGTTTAATTTTGTTTTAATTTACTAAATCATTTCATTATTAGTGGCAATGACCACTGTGCTTGAGCAATCTGTCGTACTCTGTTATTTTAAAATTGAAAAGGACAATATTTTAAAAAATCGAAAGAATCAATAAGCACCCATTTCCAATGTGGTACAGTTTTGTAGCAATCACGTCCTGTCAGAGAATCTTTTCTTGACGCTTTATTCGCGTTTTCTTTTTTCAGCTTGCTAATAAATGATGAATCAAAACTAAGGTGGTGGATACAAATGCAAGTAAAAATGTACGAAATTAAAGCTCTAAGTTTAAAATTAAATACCACCGACCTGTTCGGACCAGTTGACGCCATATCTACAGAAAGCTGCGAAATGTTCACAATTATTCCAGAGAACATTGTATCCAATCTCCCCAAGCTTACTTAGTGCTTCTCTTACAATCTCGTGGGCTGGTTTAGGTCTTTAATGAAAAAGTAAATCAAGTTTTCTTGCCCAGAAAAAGAGCAAAATGCATAAAATCTGAAAATTTAATTTAAAGAAAAAACTCACCTGCATTTTCTGTCTTTAGTGTTGTTGATTTCAACTTTGGAATCAAAAACCACTTTCCAGAAGTTCTCTTTCTTTACTACAGCTTTGTTGAACGTTTTCCCGCAGATCGTGAACACGTGGTTAGACTTTAAGGTACCATTGATTCCATCATTATCGATACCACCAAGATGTACCACCTCTTCGTCACCTTAAAATAATAACTGACAATACAGTTTTGTAGATTTTAATCTCTTTCCTTGAAATTTTAATTCTTAAATATAGTCACAGTTATAGTCTGTCATATTTTTCTTTATAACATTATTTCTCATATGATTAGAGACTCATATTAGATTTCTAATTAAGTTAATTAATCACTATATGTAAAGATAACTTTTACCAATGTAAACAGCCCAATGGGAGTACCATCCGCGGTTGAATTCTAATAAATCCCCCGCACGTGCTCGACGTATAACACTTCTGTTGTGTGAGTTGTACGTGCTCACTGCCATTATGGACTGGCCTGGTTATTGTTCACAAACAAAGCCAAAGATCACAATTTTCCAACAGGAAAAATACATAATTTATGATACGGAAATTTTTAACCATATTAAAAGACTATTTACAATGTATGACATCAGTATGATATTAATGGCATGTATATAATTGAAAGACAAGATTTGAAGCATAAATAATTATTAAATAAGCCTTTCCATTCCTTGAGAAGTCGATGTTATGAATAAAACAGGCTTAAAAGTGAGGAAATAATCCAGGTGTAACATTACTCGATGCTGTATATTACAAAATGATACCCTATATTAAAGACATTTGATATAATTGTTATGGAGGAGAAACATCTCACGCTATTCATACCGTGAGAGGAAGAACTTATATCAGGCTTATGGTGCTATTGCTAGATCAGTTTTTCACTCACAAAATAAACGTTTGTTTATTTCTCAATGACACATCTGTAAAGTTTTCTTAGAATGAAAAATATGGAGATAACAAACAGTATTAAAAATCAAAAGTCCATAAACAAAACAAAACAGGAGCAGAGTAAACATGGACCTCCAAATCATCAGAGATGGGATCAGGTGACATGGAGGAGTGAGCATCCCCTGCCGACCGGTCACACCCACAGTGAAATTCAGTGTGTAAATAACGGTGTACTAATCAGGATGAAAAACATCAGTCAGCATTTGACTCAGTGATAAATTGTATTTGCTGATAAGGTCATTGTATCGACCTTAGAACTTACGAAATGATGACTTTAAATGAAACTGCTGATATTCTTGTTTCATCAACTTGTTTGTCAATAATTTACCTCATGTTAGAAATTGTTCGTACATAGAGCTTGGTTGTTAGATTACCATGAATGTCTTTTTCAAGTAAAATATCCAAGTATAAACAGATGTGCCAGACTCTGTGGTATCTTTTATCATCAAAAATATAACCTTTGTCAGTCGTGAATTCTCCGACTATTAAATTGGAAGTATGATACGAGCGGATAGAAAGTATCAATAATAACATTTCGTAAATCTGTCGAGCAAGAAAACAATTCGAGCAAGAAAACAATTCACTTTAAATTAATCTGATGAAGAATTTTTCAAGAAGTTGCTTCCAAAATTGCTTAAAATTCAAGTTTGTATGTCTTTAATGTCGAATTTTTCACGCAAAGCGGCACTTTTACACTTATACTTGGCATTCAGTTTCATTGAACGCTGAGGGATCTTTTTTGAGCACTTACTGCAACACGGAATCTCACTTTATACGGTGAGAGATGGAAATCAAGAACAGTATTGTAATCAAGCTTAGTCTATTGAGACAATACAAGTCGGGAGAATTGCACTCGGACCCCGAAACCATAGGATGTGGGATCATGCGACAAGGAGTAGTATGCAATCATTCTCGACTGGCACAGTGGTTATTGCGTTTTCTCCAGCGAAGAAAGGAGTTGATCCTTACGTCGGGGACTCGAATCCTTTGCGGGACGTAGATACCGGTTCTTTGGATGAGTTCTATGGTAAAACAATGAGGTTGTCAACAGACATTATCTATCATAAAATTAAATGATGATTGAAATTCTTTTTTCAGACTAGTTGTTAGGCCATTTTGTACACAATGAATAGTCTAAGTTTATTTTTTGTTTGTCCGCGATCACGACAAGCATTACACGGCTTGAGGGGCCAGTCGTGATTGGATTAAGTCGCTTATTAATAAATATGTAGTTCTTTTGCCAATCGCATAGGCAATTAGAATGAAAGTTTCGGGTCTTTCGGATCTGATGCCGCGTTACGACAGGCGTTGGCTCGATAAGGATCCCTCATTGTTCAATGATCGTGAGTGTCGAGTAAAAGCCCTTCCTCGGTATACGGTGACGTCTCTATATGAGTGAAAAATTCTCGAACGGGCGTAAAATATCTTTTTGCAATTCAATCTTTGGAAGGCCAGTAACAAATCTTTGGCCAGTTAGGAGTAGACAAAATAGTAGTTACTGGACACTTGTATGTTTTTCCTTGTATTATATAGTGAATTTTCAATATCACCTACATATAATTTTTGTCTCCAAACTGAATTAGTAACTGTATGCAGCAGTATCTTCCAATTATGAACTGGACAATTTTCTGGATTCTCTAGCAGCATTTGCATACTTTAATTTCTGGCTTAGCTCACCTCACCCAAAAGCTCAAATAAGTTATTTCGATCGAAGATGTTTCGACATCCGTTTATACGTTGTATGTAGCTTATAAATTTTTACATTTTCAATTTTACAAAGACGCAGGCACAATTTCAATTAAACTGTCTATAAAACATCCTTGGGTAAAGTCCAAACACGACACTCTCCTTCATAAGTTGATTATAGTGAACATTTAGAAGAAACATTCAAAGACTCTTCTTTCATGAACCACTATACAATATCGGAAACATAAAAACACGTGAATACTTCTTGATACATAGAAGTTTAAACTTTGTTCTTTTTTTGTTCTGATACCATGGGTAGCAGGGGAAATATAGTGATTTGGAGGGGAAAAAGCAGCGCCAATGTGAGGCAGGTGAGCGCTTTGACTTTAGCATCAGAATAAACTGTACTTAGAACAAAAATGCATTGAGTGTCCCAAAAAGATGGACCCATTTATCTGCCCCTGTCATGGTGGGCAGTGTTTTTCACGAGCAGAGCAGATAGATGTAAAATATTAGGAAACCGAGTGTGGGTAGATGGAAGTTATCGGTTGTAAGTTACCGTAGTTGTCATGTACTACTGTATTTAACTTTATCGCATGTAGTATGGTGATATTGGATTGAATTTTTGCAGTAAATGCAGTGTTTGTTTATGAGTTGAACTCACCATAGAGGCATTGAACATTGAACATTGAACAACTGAAAAATCTAAACTGGAATACATATATCGTCATTACTTTTGCTCTATGCTATATCATTAACTTTGCCATTATATCTAAACAAATCATAATGAGTAACAAAGACTCATCAAACAAAAGGTGTATCAGTGAACTTTCGCTTGACATGTCAAGATCATTCAGTGATGTGATCCAATCTACAAAGAAGTCTCGGGATGGCTCATTGTCAGACCAAATTCATGAACAGGAGCCTATTCCCACTCAAACATCTACTCCTGAAAATATCAAATGTGCTACAGGTGACCTAAGTGAGCAACAACATCATGTTTCCCAGTACCCCACCCCTCAACTTGTAGTATCAGGGCCTATCACAATTTGTAGTGAGGATATACAAAAGATAGCAGAAAGTGTTAAAGCCTTACTTAGTACTGACTTAGCCTCACTCACATCTGAAATACAAAGTATTGTTAAAAGCGAAGTACAGAAAGCAACTGAGCCCTTGCAAGAAAAAATTAAAAACCTTGAACAACAAAACAAAGATTTGTTCCTTAAAGTTGACGAACTAGAGCAATATGGTCGCAGACCTTTAGTTCGAGTGTCTGGCATACCCGAAACGATGAACGAAAATACATCGGACAAAATCATGGGTGCCGTTACAGCCGCCGGTATTCCTCTTCAGCGGGAAGATATTCTTGTATCTCATCGTGTTGGAAAACGTGATGCCAACCGAACACGCCCTAGACAAATAATTGCCCGATTAAAATCTGTGGATCTTAAATTCCATCTTGTAAAAAATTCAAAAAAGTTCGCAGAAATTGATGAGACAGCTGGCATTACCATTAACGAGGATCTAACGAAGTATCGTGACAAGATCATGTTCCTGGGCAGACAACTCTGTCGAAATCACAGGATAAAATCAGTGTCGTCCTCCAATGGCAAGATCAAAATATACGATCGGAACAATGATGCTCATTTTATTCGAGAAGAGGCAGATCTAGTACCCTTTGGACACGAAATGGCAATCGATTAAATTGTTACAAAAAAAACAAAACGATAATCTGAAATGCGTTTAAATAAATTAAGGACATAAACTTTCCTCCCACACCAGTTTTTTTTCTCTTTCTTAGAACTCATGTAAAATGAACTGCATCAGTTTATGTCTTTTGTTCTGTGCAGTTCAACTTACTTGTACATTTCAAGACTTAGAGGTTCAATCAACCTCAAACTTTTTTGATGCAAAAAAATCTTGTAAAAAGTATTGTGTGTACAACACAGTGTTTGTATATATTTCCTACACACAATATTCCTGTTTCCTGTTTCTTTGTTTTGTTATTATTCTAAATGTATATTTCTTTGTTCATTTTTTTGTTGTATTATTTTTTTGTGTTACACTTTATAATCCTTACAACTTCAATTGTCATGCTTCATGTATTCCACTGTATTTACCAAACTCTGTACTTTTTGTCCCAACTCTAATGTTACTCTTATCCAAAAACACCATTGCAGCACCTTTTTTATTTCCTACTGTACACTTTCACCAAATTTTAGACAATGGGTGACTCTGTTGAACAATACCGTGCTGCAATCGGTCTTTTTTATTTATCCTGTAGAGGTGTATGCAAGTCTTACTCATTCCATATCTCGGTTTGTGAATTTTTATCGTGCGTTATTATGTTCCCCAAACGAAGTTGGGGAACATATTGTTTTTACTCTGTTTCTTATTATGTTCCCCAAACGAAGTTGGGGAACATATTGTTTTTACTCTGTTTCTTATTATTATTATTATTAAGGTCTTCCGTCTTCAGCGGAAGACCTTATTGTTTTTCTTAGGTTTCTTTTCCACTATTTTTCTTATTATTATTTTTTTTCTTACCGATTTTGTGCACGCGAGTTCTCGGAAACGGCTCGATGGATTTTCATGAAACTTTCAGGTCTGATAGAACATCGAAAAATCTAGAAGTAAAATTTTTTATTTTGATGACGTCACTTCCGGTTCGGAGATTTTCGCAATTTTGTCATTTTTAGAGGGTCACTTTGTCCGGCAATGTTCTCAAAAACCGTTGAAGATTAAAGTATGAAATTTTCAGTGATGATAGATCAACCTTTGGAGAAGTGCACTGAGTATATCATTTTCACCGGAAGTAGGTAGCGCCGACGCTCTGGCGCGAAAATAGTCCTATCAGGAATTTCAAAATATTTAGCACCTTTTCTACGATAAAATTTTACCTAGAAATATTTGGTTAAAGCATGTAGAACAAAAAAG